GCAGCAGTTTCTATGGGTGTATGTGATGGGCCAGGGTGGCAGCAGCAGCATGTGTGCGTGTGTGTGTGTGAGAGAGAGAGAGAGATGTGAAGGAGGGTACTCCAGGTAGGAGTGGCCACCAGAGCTGGGCTTGGAGCCCTCCTGCCCCCCTGGAGCAGCCTGTGCAGGGGAGGCTGGTCTGGAAGGGAAGGGGCTTGCCCAGCCCAGACCCTGAGCCCCAGTCAGGGGCTTCCCAGGAGGGGCATGGGGATTGCTGGGGCCTAGGCACAGGTGCAGGGAACAGAACACCAGAGGCTGGCACTGCTCAGAGCCACAAAGCAGTGGGTGGGACAGATCCAGCTGGACCCGTGTCCTGGTGCAGGGAGGGAGCTGCTGTCAGGAGGGTGAATGGGGGGCAGGCAGGGGCTCCAGGTCAGGAGTGAGTGGCACTGGCAGGGCTGTGGGTTGGTAGTGAGGGGCAAAGGCATGGGCAGGGCACTGGCATTTTGGTGCTGCTTAGTGCCACAAAGCTGTTGTGAGAACAGCTGCAGCCTGGCCTGCATCTTGGTGAGTGAAGGGAGCAGGGGGAGCTATGATTGTCTATGATAAAAAACCCAAATGTATACTCCAAAGTATATAGACGTTTAGAATTTATTTTATTATTTATTATATGATTAAAGCACTGGTAGGCTTCCAAATTGCTTTAAAATTTGTAAACATCAATAAAATATTGCCCAACTGATCTCTCTCTCTCTCTCTCTCTCTCTCTCTCTGTATTTCAGTTTAATCATGGAAAAATGCAAATTTTTAGTATTTTTAACCAGAGAATTCAGATTTTTTTTTTTTTTTTTAATCAAAGAATTTGCAGTTTTTAAACAGGGAACACCAGGATCTCTGCTGGTGAGGCAAGTGGCAGGACCTAGGCAAAGGAGCCTGCCCAGGGCTGGTACCAGAGACCCAGCTGGAGGGTGGATGAGGTGGCTGATCTCCTGGCCATTTGGGGCCAGGAGGACACACTTTGACAGTTCAGAGTGGGCTACTACAATGACCACATCTTTTAGGTGATAGCTGCCCAGGTAGCAGAGCGGGGGCAGTGCTGCATGAAGGCCAACTATGCAACCATGGCCCACTGGCAGCTGGCTCAGGGGTGCAGGTGGCTCTGCTGTAGTGTCCATATCACAGTCCAGGCAGCCGTGCCGTCCCCATCCGGGTCTGGCAGGGACTGATGTTGCAAGTGGCAGGCGAGGCTGTCACTGCTGCAAGGAGCTGGAGCAGAGCCACAATCCCCTGCCTGAGTGCCCCTGCCCATAGCGTGCAGGCTACAGATCATGGCTGTACCCTAACTTTGGAGAAAACTGTCCCCGTCCCACATTCCCAGAAGCTCCAGAGCAGCCCCCTGTGCTGCTCTGCTGCGTGGGCTGTCGGCATGGTGGAGTCTGATTTCCATGGCAATCCCAGCCTGAGCTTTCCCACGCAGTTGCAGCTGGGGTCTCCATGAAGACCAGCGCAAGCCATGAGGGCAAAGGCAGCTGGGAAATGGAGTCCCCAGCTGACCAGATCCAGCCCGTGGGCCTGATGTTCCCCATCCCTGTCTTAGAGGTAGGTGAGCCTCTTCAGTAGATGGATAGTTTGGGTGTTGAATTACCACAAATGGTGAAGGCCAGTGTTGGAATGAGATTCAGTCATAGTCCTTTAATTTTTTTCTGGACCAATATCTTCAAAAAATATATACAGATTCTGTGGGCTCAACATGAAGCTCCTTAGAAGGATCAGATATTCAGAGGACTGAAGCAGAATACTTTTTGAAAGTTAAGTCTTTTTAAAGTGCCTTAAGTAGAAAACCCAATCATCTGAAAACTTGGTCTTCACATTTCTCAGTGCCATAGTAAACTTTGATTTAAGAGGGCAGTTTTTAATTCTGATGCTTCTGAAATATGTCAACAGAAAAACACTTTGACTAATATGTATATTTGTACATTTCCAGCTTCATTGTTTTGCATATACAATCATTTTTTTTTGTACAGTACTAGACAGCAGTTTTGCCAGGTTTCACAATTTCATTGAGTCTCTCAAGGTATCTAGTGACTTACTTTAAAGACTCTTGGTTTCAAGAGTCTACGTAAGTATCACAGCATTCATTCTTTTTTTCCCGTATTTAAAAAAAAAAAAAAAAAGACTTTAGCCCTTGGGACAGCAGGGCTTGAGAACATCTTGAAAA